AAAATGTAATGTCTATCCAGTACACCTATCTTGTCAATGTTTCTTAAGCCGTTGTCAGGTGGTAACAAACATTAACTTCAAATTAGAGGGTTGATCAATAAAATGTGGAGTGATTTGATTTGGTTATTATGACACATTTAAAATCTAGAATTATTTGGTTTTTAATAAAAAGTCTGTTGAATTCAGATCCAAAATGAAAAAAAAAAATTAAGCAAGTAATAAATAAAAAAATCATAACGAATTTCACAATAATAATGGTCAAGATTAATAATTAACAATTGCGGTAGAGATTTCTTTTTCTTGTAAGTTACTGACTCAATGCATAATTCTAATGTGAGTTGCAAATTCACTGTATTTTCTATGTGGGTGCGTATAATATCTGGTTCTGTTAAAGTTTTAATCTTATGATCTTCAAAATTAATATTAGTTTAGGGGCGGTAGTTTTGAGGTGCATCGTACCTTCTGACTGGTTAGTATAATATAAACCTTGATTTTTAACTATTACATCAACTTTTGTTTGTTTTATTATAAGCGATCCGCTTACATTCACGATATAGGAATGAATAGTTGAATATGTAAATGAACAATTGTAGTTCTTGTCACATCATGACATTTTGGATGTTACTTTGATCTCATTCCGTATATGCCTCATACCAAATCAAGAGAAATTTGTTTCTAAAAAGTAGTATTGTTATCATTATTATTTCCTATCATATCAAATTCTTGATACAGTGAAACGACTACGGTAATTCATTAGCTTAAGCACAAATTGGAGTTTCCTTTTGACTAAAATTTATACTACTATCAGTAATATAACAAGTAGAATTAACATTATTGTTATTTTGTTAATTGAAATAAGGTTTCTAAATTATTTAATTATTGTTTATCAATAAGTTGAGCTTGTAACGATAATAAATTGCTTATAGTAATTTACATCACTAAGTAACATTGGTTGTAGAAAGCCCAAAAGTTCAATACAAATATGTTACCCTTATATACATCTATAAATTAGCCTGTACTAATAACCACTTATGGAATGAAATTCGTACCACTCAAATGTTGCAGACGATAAAATATCAGTAAATTATCACGTCAATTCAAAACAATGTATACTTCCTAGTTCAGTCAACTCTTGAGGAAGATATTCACAGTAACATAATATCATGCGTATTTATTTAAAAGACTAATATTTGAACGAAGAGTGAGAGGTGTTCACGAGCACGGAAATGCAAATTCCTACAACTTCAACCCACGTAACTCGCTCGCTCACACAATATAGTCTTCCACCAAACTTTTGATCGAATTTACTCTATCTAACCCATATTTATCCTGATCATATATGCAGATTCAAGTTTACATTCTATATGAGTCATATTAACATTAACAATTTTATTGTATTTTGTTTAACAATCCTAAATTCACACGCATTAAATGATGTATTTCGCCCTTAACATGGCCATTTTCTGGATTAATAATTTGGATATATAATTGTAGAACCTGACGAGAATTTATCGAAAAGAATGTTCTTTGTTCAAATATTAGTCTTTTAATATGGTGGGGATCTCTAAACGAATAAAAGACTATTTGCCAACAATTATAAGACATACTGCAAATGTTATGAACGATACACTAAGTCACGAAACGTCAGAAAATTTGAATTTTCTACTCATTGGAACATCACAAATATATATTAATTTATTTCTAGAAGTAAACGTTTATTTTAACAGTTTATTTCAAAAGACAATAACCTTTACGCTATTCAATGCATAATACACTGAATATTATTTGATCTTTGATCATAATAAAACAATTTAAATTCACTAAATGATTCCTGACAAACTTTCTTAATGTAAGCAATAATCTTTATAGTGAATATTCCCATTTTGCCATTTGTCAAATAAAGAAGGAACGAATTGAGCGAAGAAATTTCTTTTCAATTAGTTTTTCATCATGGCTCTACACTAATATATATACGTTTTACAATAATAATATAATACTCATCGAGTGGATACGTTACGTAATAATTACATAATGACATTTAAATTAACATTGATTAATTGGAAGAAAGAGGATTATTAATATTCAAAGTGATCAAGAAGTTGCTAAGTTGCGTAATGTAAGAAACAAAGAAGGAACAGAATTTTAACGGATGGTCAATAGGATGGTAGTTACGTAAGAATCAAGAGATGAATGTTGAGAAGTTATTAAGTTCAAAAGCAACAGAAATAAAATTACAAAAGTTTTTTTAAAAAAAAAGGAAGAAGTATGAAAAATAGTTCTTTTGAAGGAAATCTTAAACTGATGGCCAGGGCAGGGAAAGTGGTTGTACGAATCTCTTTTGAATGCAAAGGTCAGGTTTGTGAACATGGATTGCGATGGCTTCCGCAATGTGCAAGAGGCGCACTCGTAAACCATGTGGCAAATTAGATGGGATATTGTAGATAACCTTAAAAGCTTTATTCAATTCGACTTGATGACCTGTGTCAACCAAGTGAGAGAGAATAGAACTTTTAATCACTTTTACCTGTCCTTTGTTTAACCACGACGGATGATGTTCAGTAATGCGATGACGGACTTGCCGAATTGTACGCCCAATATAACTGGCTCCACAGGAGCAGTTGAAACGGTAGATACACATAGATTTGGCGAATTCAGGCAGTCTGTCTTTGTTGGCTGTTCTTATCTTAGGATAGTTGTAGAAGATTGCATTTAATCTGGCAGCATTAAATGTTTTTTGTACGGCTCTTCTTAGTTTCTGAGTCAAGGTTTCTTCAATGGTGTCATTTATGAATTGTAGTTTTATGAATAGTACCTTCTTATGGACGGTGGGTATCTTTGTCCTTGTTTTCTTCTCCATCATATGTTTGTCGATGAATTTCATGGGATACCCATTCATGCTAAGTAGGTTCCGAATATTATTCAATTCTTCTTCGATGGTGTCTTCAGAGCAAATCATTCTAGCCCGATGTGTCAAGATTTTTATCAAGTTCCTTTTGTATCTGATTGGAACTGCACTATAGAAATGAGTGTATTGTCCTGCTGCACGAAAGTAACAATGGAAGTATATCTTCATTACACTTATTTTGTTTGTTTTTTTAATTGAAATTTCTTTCTTGGATTTGTAACAGTTTATTTACAGTCCCTAATTCTTAAACTTGTTATTAAAAGTAACGCATATACTGTTTTTTTGTAATTTTTTACGAAAACTATATGAAACACTTAAAATGTTAGATACTTATTGAAGTAAGGCATCTTCTTTTAGTTACATTCTAGTGAATGAATTACATAGTTACCACTACATCATCAGTGAACCGATGCATCTGTGATTCACTTTAAGAACTAATTCTTGAAGAAACTATCTATATTAAGAGGGTTTTTCATACCATGTCAATTTGTTCTGGAGGTTACATACGTCATCAAGCACTATTTCTTAAAATAAAAGAAAGGATCGTGCTTAAATTATCAGTCAGATTTGCAACAGAATGTCTTCATTAAACCGTTTATAATCCAATAAACTATTCTTGAAAACAATTACATTTTTATAATACTGACTGTCTAAAATAATAATGAGGATGTACACGTATGAAAAATCAGATTCAGCGAAGTTTTGAGACATTAATTTCTAATGTCTAGTAATAGGCATAAAAAGAAAACTACGACAGACAATTTTAAAAGTAGTCCAAAATATATTTCTACGAATGAGATCTATTATGGAGATTTACAGAATTTGTAGGTAACTTCTGTCGTAAATTGACGTCACTCTGAGTAGCTTAAAAAATCAGGGAACATTTCATAAACATTTCGTCTTAGTATCATAAATATATTGAATTCGTAAATGCTTAGCGTCCGATTTTAGCTTAGTAGCTTTATGATTAGGCATTCGCCACTATTGTTGTGTGTGCTACTGATATTGATAGATATAAGTAGTGTGCATCATCAATCAAAAGTGAAATACCTGAAGGCAGAAGGTTAGGAAGATCAAGGAAAAAAGAACGAAAACAGAGAGTGAAAGGTATGCAAACGAAGGAACAACGAAGTCAGAGACGATTGATTGACATTTTGCAAATAAACAATTTACTGTATGATTCTCAGATTTCAGTAAGAAGTTCTGTAATTTTGTGTTCAAATACATTTGATTGCCCCACGTGTGATCGTATACTACACTATAACTAGAAGTTGTAGGTGTAATGAAGAGTGTTATACTAAAATGAAACAGTTATCCAGTGCTTACGGGTTTTTAATGAAATCTTTAACAACTCCAAATCTTACTAATCTTTACTAACTTATATGATTGCCAGATAATGAAGTGTATTTCTGTAAATGACACAGATTTTTTAAACCTTATCGAAGTTTATCTAAACAACGTGTACATTTTTAAATGGTTCATTGAAATTACAACTGAACTATTTGTGAATGAACTTAAATTCTTTTTGTTTTCTTTATACTCTGTTATGTTTCAATTTTCAGCAATACATTTAAAATTATTGTACATTGTAAAATGTATATATTCTATTTATATTTTATTTCTGGCATGCGAATATGTATATTATGAGATGTAGTTACGGTAACCACATATCATAAGTATTGCAAACATGAAATATAACAGTACTAGTATTATAGATGTGGGTGTAAATTCAATCGATAATAAATATTATAATAATGAAGCAAGAAATACTACATGTCATATGCTCATCTACTTACATACACATATAAACATAAAAACATACATATGTATACTAATATACGTTTAAGAATTTAATTGAGTCTTACTAATGTTCGATTGTATCTGTATGTGTAAGTATTTTTTTTATACTGATAATCTTCATTTAGTAGTCATTTTTTACTGAACTACCAAACTAGTACTTTTATCATCGCTTTATTTAATAAACGACTGGTGATTACTGTTATATTAAAGAAATCGATCAGTCAACAAATCTTCAAGAAGATTAACTATTTTAACATTATATTATAATCTATTACAATAATAATAAAAAGAACAGATGAAACAAGGAAAACGATCAAGCAGTGTGGATTCTTCAAATGATAAAGAGATATTTTTTCAATGTCGTGGAAAAAAACTCGGTGTTACTGAAATTACTGACAATGAATCATTTTCACGTTTTTCAGCTGATCAAATTATAAAAAAACATTTGGCTAAAGGTCATACAAATATTATTATTAGTTGTTTACAAGATAGAATGAAATTTACTAAAACTTCATCAATAATTCCACATTCAACACGAAAATATGCAGAATATAAAGATATTAAAAATTTCTTTGTTTTTACAAGTAAACCAGGTGTATTCGTATTATGTAAACATGATTCTGTGACAAATAAAAAAACTTATGAAAGTTTCTGTTGTGATGATCCATCTGATTTAGAAAAATTAACACGTTTAGTCAGTTCAGCTAAAAATAATTCAGATCATAGATTATATAAAAGTCAAAATACATCAAGATCAACTATTGATATGAATAATGAAATTTCAGCTGCTGAATTATTTGAAAGTAGTACAAATTTAAATAATGAATCATTAAGTTATCAAAGTGGATTTTTACGTGATACTGGATCACCTGTAACTGAAGCAGTTGATCGTAATGAAGTATTTCCTAGTACTTCACCATTTTCTCCATCACATACTTATAATAATTTAACTTCAGTTTCAGTTAGTGATATGCCAAATGAACATGAAGCAAATGGTTATATTGAAAATAAATCAAATAGTAATATAAATCGAAAAAAGATTCATATAATTCACCAAATGGAATGATTTCACCTCCAATTAATGATAATTTTCATCCTTTAATTGGTTATCAATCAAAGAATAAAATGAAACATAATCAATCGAATCATCATAATAACAATGATACAACACCGGTAAATTCACGACGTCAAAGTTTAAAAAATCTATATAGATTAGATAATGAAAATATTTATACTCAGAAAGATGAATTAATTGCAATGTTTGATAATGATTTAACATTTCTTACTTCTTCATGTGGTGATGTCGTTGAATCTGAACATGGTTCAAAGTATTTATTTTGTCAATCAGGTTTAGAAAGACTTCAAAGTTATGAAGGACCTTTATATGAATCATCAACTGACTGAAAAAAAAATGAAAATATCTATATAGATATTTATCAAACTATAAACATTTATCCATTTTTAATATGAATGATTAAACAATAATAAGTTCAACTCATGAAATTCTTTTGGTAAGTCAATTAAACATGTTTACTGATTATAAGACTGTTACATTATGCTTTATGAAACTTACATTCCTGAATACATTTCAATGAAACTGTATTGTCTTTTAACTGATATTCATAATCATCTCTTCCTGTTTACTTGTTTCTTCTTTTTTTTGTACTTTAAATTATATTAGAGTAATACAATATTGAATAATCATTTTTTCTTATGTGCTAATTTATATGGAAATAAAAGTCAACAATTGTTCATTCATATTAATGATCACTAGAGTAATTTGGTTAATATTTAATTTAACAGGATCAATCGATAACTTATAATCAAGGTTTAGGTAGTTGATGAACTATTACGTATGTTTTATGAAAACTATAGTAATATTGCATTTTCGACATGGTTCCGGATCAAACTAAAAATAACTATTATGTGAATGAGCCATATGTTTCATAATTAAGAGGTGCATCAATAATATTCGCCTGAACATGTTATCAGAATGAGTTTTGTGGAGATTTTAGGAAATTTCACAGGTTGAAATCATGAGTCAATTAAAGCTAGACCACCATGGAAAACCTGGAAGCACTGGACGGCCGTTTCGTCCAAGTATGGGACTCGTGGATGCGCACTGCTGAGGAGTCCCATACTAGGACGAAACAGCTCTCCAGTGCTTCCGGGTTTTCCATGGTGGTCTAGCTTCAATTGACTCATGATTTCAATCTGTGAACATGTTATATATATATATATAACCAAGTTTGAGTCGACAAACTGAAGATTACATATTATATGGATAAATCACTAAAGATTACCTAAGAATAATCCAGTTTAATCAGCACTTACATTAGAAAACTAACTTAGTACTCAATAGAATTGTTCCATTCGGTAAACCAATCAATTTCGCCACAGTAACTATCAATTAAGTGTGTTATGTAATATTCATAATCGGTTCACACTGGAATAGAGTTTTAACCTTTTGTTCTCCACCCCCACTATGTATCAAAATCAAATTAACCATAATATCTCCACACGATTGCAATAAAAGAGATAAGAAAGAGTATTTTGATCAAGGAGCCGCTTTATTGCTTGAAGTCAAGAATGTGGTACAAAAATTCTATTTATATGATAATAACAATGATTTTGGGAGCATTAAACAAAATAAAAAAACTGATATGGAAAACAGCCAAACATTGAATAGTGAAGATCATTGTAGTAATTTGAAGTTATAATGGCCTCCTTTATTCATCAGAACTGCAACTTATTATCGAAAGAAAAAAACTAGATTTCTTGAGTCTTTCCCTAGAAGTTCGATGCAGCAAAAATTAAAGTAAAGAACAAGTGGAACACTAAGAATAATTGCTTGATCTAAGCTAGATCAAACATTAACACGCGAAATCATATATTTATTTCAGGTAGCAGAATTATTTTTCTCCAGCAGACGTCCAATAGCCATAACATTTAAATTCCGTAGACTTAATAAAATGGTAAACTGTGTACAGGACATATTGTTGCATAGCATATAGTATGTAACTGAAGTACGATATTTCATTTCAGCAAATTATTCATTCAGAACTTGTACTTAGTTTCAAAAGAAAACAACAAGCAATATATGCAACTATATTTAATTGTATACTCAAAACTGTCAAGTTTAATTATCACTTGTTACTAAACTAAATTTGTCAACTGAATCGTTTACTACATCAATCGTTAACCGTTAAGCCATGATATATGAGAAGACAGTATTGCATCTGAGGATTAAAGTTTCGTACCAGACAAAAGTTAATGACATGGTTATATAGAACTCTACTATTCTTAAGTAGTCTGGGAGGAAGATCAAAATAAGTTAGATGATAGAAGAAGGCAAATAGTGAGCTGATAAATCATAAAAATTGTTACATAAACACTGTATATCTAGATAATTGCAAAGGTTTTGCTTTTAATAGAGTTATGAGTGTCAGTTCTGTTCATTTAAGATACAACAGATACAGAACAGCGTCAAAACTTTCCACAGAATAAGGTATGGAACTTTTACAAATTCGACGCAACCAAGACTGTACCAGTACTAAGAATAAATTCATATGACAACCTGTTGTTGTGATTACCAAACAATATAATTATATTACTAGGATCAGTGTCAAAACGCTTCAACTGAGAGCTGTTTTGGTACTACATGAATGAAATGGAAAATGTCAAAAATATTGTTAAGGAATCATTAATCAAATAGGTTATCTAATGATCATTTCTTATTACGAGAGAATATGCCGCCTAAACGTTATTAAGTAAATAAATGTTATGGTGACCACTGCTGTAAATCAGTTGAAAGATTGAAACTACAAAAAAAGCATGTGTCGTCATTTAATAACATTATTTTTTACGGAGTTCCTCATCGATCACTCTGAAAGTATTTGTATTTAGGTCTCTGTGCCTAATGGTTTGGTTATGAATCTTCCATTGTTCTTCTAAACAACAGCGCTTGCCTCTTTTTCAAATTAGTGCTGATAATATTGCTCATAAGAACAATGGAATCTTCACTACCAAGCTATACAGTTCAAAGACCACAAAGCCTCTAACAGTCTTATTCTGAGCTAGAAATATTTCCTATCATTCCAAAACATTCTATTAACCATCATTAAATGAATATTGATCTATTTCAGTTGACTAACTAATAAAAGAAAAAACTTATTGTCGTTTTCATTTTTATTGACGAACATATCATATTTACTACAAATAGGTTGATCACTTCAGAATAACTCTTAATAAAATCCATTGCTCAGAAGGTAGATTGATAAAAGCCTGGAACAGGTTTGGAATATTGAGACTACAAAATATTTCTCCTACAGGTGCCTACTGTGCGAATATCCGACGTTGTTTGTAATAAACTGAAATTAAGAATGATTTTCTATGTGAACTATTGGAAGAAAATACCACCTAACGTCTTCGAATTGTATATCGTTCGCTAAACTCTTCAGGGGTATTAGTTCGTCAGGTTGTGTATGACTAAAACTGTTGGTAGAACTACTTCGTTGAATGTGATTGTGTTGATCGGTAATATCGTTTATTTCAAGAGGTTAAAAGGGTTACTTAGAAATGAAAAGGTGATGTAAGAATTCAATTTGATCATTCAGTTGATAAATATTCTTCGTATTCTTAGAATTCACTGTTCGTACACGCCAACTTTAATCTAGTTCTTATATTAATAGAACACACTTCTAGTGTACAACAATTTGTTTGTCAACACATCAATCTACGTATAAAGTTAATTAATGAACAAAACAAGTGAATACAACAGTTGTAAAAACATTTCTGTTCACCTTAAACGTAGCAAGCATCAGACTGCTGTATTTCTATTTAATTAAGGATTGAACTCAACAACAAGTCAGAATTTGTAAGAAAATACTACGAAGAAAAGTCTATGTTTGACGTTTGCAGTGATTCTCTTCTGAACTCTACGTGTTTTCAGGCGAAATAATCATTTTCAAATCATTTTCAACAGTATCTGGTATGGCTATAACAATGAATTTTGTTATTAATTGAAGAGAATGTCTATTAAATATAAATGACAAACTATTAAGGGTTATTTGTAAGATGGTGGTTGAAGGTAGTCAACAGGAAACCATGGTCCCATGTTTCATGCTACTTGGCACTCATCAGCAACATGTACCTGTAATCTTGAGGGGACTGAAGCTCCCTGACGAATTTGATCCCGTGTCACTCAGTTTCATAGTCAGAAATGTTACCACAAGGCTATCCGGGCCGCGATTGACCTCCTGTCGGAGTGATATTTATTCACAATTGATTGATCAATGTCCTATGTGTCAGGTCCTTCTTAGTGCAGATCAAATGCTATCGACCATTATAGTGCACGCAATATCGTGTCGTCTAGACTAGTGGCCATATTGCAACCTGGTCGGTAGTATTCGATTTGCACTAAGAAGGACCTGATACATATGACATTGATCACCACCTGGTGACCAGTCAATTGTGAGGGTTATAAGCGTTTCCATTATTTTCAAAAATAACTATTTCGTATTTATCAGAAGGGATTTTTTGGAAAGTGCTAGAACTCGGTCTTTTGTCTATCTTTATGAAAATTAAAAATGGTATGATTTTTCCCATCTATAATTCTTGTATCAAATATTTCTAATGTATGTATAAAACCGTTTTTAGTTATCAAAAAATATTACAATAACGATTCGCCTTTGTCTGAATAATTACTAAAAACCTGATAGCTAAGTACATGTAGTTTCCAGGCATATCCGTACTATAATACAAACACTTAGGAGGAGCTCATCTGGCCGACTTCAGTCAAACGTATGCTTGTGCAATGTGAAACGTTCATTTATTTATACAACAATTGTGGCTTTGCTCAAAGTAGTTCGATTGACTTGTCAAAATTTAGATTTACTAAACGATTGGTGGTTTAAAGAAATGTCTAAACGAATAATTGAATGCTGTATACTATGACTGCATTAAATCACTGATTTCAAGTACAATTCTAGTTGTTGACATCTCTCAAACAAGATCATTGACAAAAACCCACGATGAATTGACGTTGCTTCATAGCTTACACCAGATAAACACATAATAAGTTTTATGAATTTGTTGAGTGATAGATTCGGACTTCATTTCTAGGTAGTTGCAGATCTTAAGGACGTATTATTTCTGTTTGATGGGTACAAGTGATTTGATTTATACTGAAGTAGTTGTGTGGTGTGTGCTACTGATGTTGACAGATATAAGTAGTATGTATCACCAGTCGAAAGTGGAATACGTGGTGGCAGAAGGTTGAGAAAATAGAAGAGAAGAGAACGAGAACAGAAGGTGACTGGTAAGGAAACGAAGGAACAATAAAGTCTTGGACAGCTGATGGATAATTTGCAAATGAATTATTTACTATATGGTTCTCAGACTTT